AACAGAAAGTATGAGTGAGAACTTTAACCAGCATGCACTGGTCAAGCCTCAGAGGAGCGGAAAAGTTGATGAGATTGAGGGGCCAGCAGTCTTTGCATGTAAGTCTGTGGTTTGTCATTCGTCGGCTAGATTGTACAATTATCTGATTGGATCAGAGAGAACAGAAAACTACAACCCTCAACACTGCTTTAAGAGCCCCAGATCTGAACACTCACAGGTCTAGTGAATAATTATTAGTTGTGCTTGATACATTGAGATGGATAGAAATGCCAGCTATTTATATATATTTCATCACATATATATATATACAGTGGGTACGGAAAGTATTCAGACCCCCTTCAATTTTTCACTCTTTGTTATATTGCAGCCATTTGCTAAAATCATTTAAGTTAATCCCTCAGATCAGCGCTGTTTTTTTAAAAAATATAACAATATTATTATATTAATATGACAAACTATAGCGATTTAAATGTACTTTAAATAATTCGAAATAATTAAAATATAAATTAATATAACAATATTATATCAATATAACACAGTAGTGTTTAAATGTACATTAAATAATTTAAATATAAATTAAGTATATATAATTATAATTGTTGTTATTTTAAATATAATTCAAAGTAATAAAAAATATAACAATATCATTATATTAATATAACAAAGTACAGTGTTTTAAATGTACATTAAATAATTTAAAATAAATCGTTTAAATATAAAAATACTATTAGACTGTGCTGTTGAAGGTTGACCTCTAGAGGCGCTGTGGTTCAGCAGGGATGCCTTTTAATCCATTGGGAGGCACAATTTATCAGTATCTGCCCACACACTGTAAGCCTAATTGCCTGATCACATATGCATGCGGGACGTGTCATCCAGTAGTGCTGGGGGAAGGGAACTAATAATAGTCCAAATGATTTTGCTGTTAGGAAGATTATAGAGCCCTATCTACCAGCCCACGGTAAGACAGGGTTGACCCTTGGCTGAACCTACACGAACATGTGCTTCGGTAAAACTAGGAACAAGGGTCAGGGTACGAGGGAAAGAGGGTAAACAGGTGTAATTGGGTAGGATGATCAGGTAAAACGCAGCAAGTGAGGAAGAAAGAATTTAGATATTTGTAATATCAGTCATTTCCCCCCACTTTTCCCTTCCACATTACAATACAGATGTGCTGTGTGTTACAAAATGTGTGTACAACATCTAATTGGACATAACAGCACAAGTATGTTCACGTCAAACCAAATGTTGTGGCATATGTGCCAAGAGAGTTTCTAAAGACATCAACTCAGGCCTCGGCTAAATCAAAAATCTCTCTGTAAAGATGCATGAGATTAATGACCTACAAGCTCTTTAAAGAAGAGAGGTCATAGAGGGATCACCGAATAACCAGAATGCCTCATTGCGTTCAATGCTGCACGCCGTTATCACATGTGTGGGATCAAGAGGACAGTTAGCGGGGCAGTTAAACTTCTGGACAGGGTCAACAAAAGTGTTGAAAAGATCAGCAGACCATCAGGTGTTCATCTCACTCTTTTTCTACACTAGAATTCATTTTTTACTTCTTTGGATTTTCATTGTGTTGTTCAGGGTTATGCAAAATTCAGAACTGACGAGTGGATAGCCATCTATCTAGCATCCATTCATCCATTGTTCTATCTATCCATCTATCATCCATCCATCGTTCTCTCCATCTATCTTTCTATCTATTCATCCATCTTTCTGCCCATCTAACAATTGTTCCATCCATCCATCAAACTTTCAGAAAATACTGTCTTGACAAATTTTTCTATGGAAAGTAAAAAAATTGGGCATAAATCATTTGTAAAAATAAATGTAAAATGCATCAATTTGTGTACAAATTAAATACAGAACGATTCACACAGAAGATATTTTTCCATGAGTGAGCCCCATTGAACAGACTTACAATCTCATTTTCGTTTGTCAGATTTAATATTCCATTTATCCTGAATACAGTCCATGACATCACCATCAATTCATGCCCACATACACAGAACAACGACATAAACAGAGGAGATTATGGTGGAGAATGTAGGAACTCCAATTACAGCAGCACTGATACAGTTTCAGTATGTCTGATGAATTGACGTACTGGAGTCCGTTCTGCACCAGTGCTTTGTGCTGATCCTGAGTTTGCTGAAGAATGAGAGCGGAGTGGATTGGGATGCCGCAGGCGAGGGAGCAAATCCAGGTCATGCAGATCCTGCGTTTAGTAATCTCTGCCCCAGCGGTGAACCCTCGATCTCATTAAAGAGGATTTCATTCCAATAGTGTAGATGTACGATGGAAGAGATTTGCTTTTGTATTTTCTCTCCTCTACTCCCATATTTTCATACTTTTTTCCTTTACGCTCTGTGAAGTCGCAGTACAGCTGAGTTGTGTAATCTAAAACAGAGTAAGCTCCACCCACTATAGGGCCTGTAAAAAAGATGATAATGCAAAATTTGAAGTATGCATACACAGATTACAGCCTTAAAGAATAAAAAAGCTTTCAATATATTGAGCATGTAAATACATACCTCGCATACTCTCGTACACATACTTTTCATGAACACATAGCATCAGCATGCTCGCGTAAGCTTGAAGGGATCACTCCACAATCTCATTATCCTCACACTAATGGCCACGTCGAGTCCATGATCTCAGTGTTACAGACCTCTGCTTGCAATACTGTTTGGATCAGGTTTTATTCAGCTGTTACTAGCGTCTTACCGGGTTTACGATGGAAATTAATTTCTGGAGTGTGTTTGTGAGCTGCTCTCGTCATGAGGTCACCAACAATACAGGTCCCAGGGCCATACATTCTTAGAGACTCCTAATGAATGGAGCTTGTATCCATGAGGGAGACTGAAACTGACACACGCTTGAAATATCCTTCGAGTAGCAACCCGACACATCCAGGCATTTAAAGGTTGCCGTGAAACACTGTTTACAACATGTTATGCAATGTGATGGGTGAAACAGGATATTCCAGATATACAACTGGGTTTTGTCATCATCTTTGTCATTTTGTCAATAAATTTTTTTTTAATGTTTTGAAAGAAGTCTCTTCTGCTCACCAAGGCAGCATTTGTTTGATGAAAAATACAGAGAAACGGCAAAATTGTGAAATGTTATTACAATTTCAAATAACTATTTTCTATTTGAATGTATTTTGAAATGTAATTTATTTCTGTGATGCAAAGCTGAATTTTCAGCATCATTACTCCAATCTTCAGTGTCACACGATCCTTCAGAAATCAAATATGCTGATTTGCTGCTCAAGAAACATTTCTTCTTATTATTATGAAATGCTAAAAACAGTTGTACTGCTTAATACTTGTCTAATACTACTTAATATAATATGTCATCAAGGCCTCTTTAGTTTCAACCAGTGGTTGCTGGTTGTGCTTCAACCCCTTTTTTAAAGTCCTAATGGATAAAGTGAAGTACCACCTTAGGCTTTTCTTGTTAAATATCCTATTTCACTGTAAAATGCATCACAGAAGTAAAACAGGCCGCAAATATTGTTTCACATTGCCTCAGGCGTCAAGTATTGCACAGATGACACACCATTAAAATCCCTCCGGCTATTGTTCTGTACATCCATGTGTCTAAAGCACTTGTAGCAAAGCTAAAATCCCTTTTTCTTGTGCACGGACATATCCATATACAGAGAAAAGTGTCAAAAGTGTCTCATAGAGCAGACAAGTGTGAAGTGCTCTGCTCGATGGGATCTGAACCTCAATCATCCCATGTTCTAGACATTAAGAGTGAGAAAATGAGTGTGAATGTGCATTTCTGAGAGCTCACGATGTGTTGATGCATGCGTCTATGTATAGTCGAAAATGGCGCAGTCTCCTCCTTTATGATCCCCAGGGTGGGACAAAGCAGCAGGTGACAGGTAAACCCCCGGTCAGGATGAAATGCATTTTTCATAGGCCTGATTTTCTCTCTGTTTATGAGTAGAGCTTGATCTCGACTCGTCGTCGACCCCAGAATACACTCTGCAATAAAACAGCGCTGTATCAATTAAACATGCAGGACAAGGACATGCAGAGTTCAGTGCACTTTTTAACCTGAGGTCAGCAGCACTTTAACTCGAGGTCAGCGCACTTATGAACATGCTTCATTGATTTTTGCTTATGAGGAAGCCACAAGGCAAAGTCTTGGTGTGGCATCCCATATGTGTCAATGTTGCTAAAAAGACAAACCCTGTTTTTGTGGTAATTAATGGTGCTTGCTAAGGCATGTTTTTCCAAACCTCTAACCCAAAAATTAAACTTGACACACACAATGACTTGAGTATAGACATGTTTCATAATTAGTGAATTTTGCTGTGAATTAATGTGAAGCTGCTTTGAAACATTTTTAAGTGTGTCCTAAGTGTCCAAATACTTTTTTGGACCCAAAGTCACTGTATCCACCTTAATTTTTAACTCAAGAGCAGACTTAGCCCTTTTTTACCTTGAATGCGTGAGGCTTCTGATGTCAATCACTTAGTTATTTTACCTGTATACAAACAGTGTTTTTTGGCAAATAATAGGGCTTTTCACATTGTGCTTAACCCCGGTTTATCATCGTTCTAAACACCGCTTTTAACCCCAGGTAAAGAAACATTTCACACATGTAATTTAGAACCGGGGTTAGCACTGCTTTTTACCTGGGGTTATGAATAGCACCGCTTTTGTGGTGTTAACCCCGCATCGCAGTGGCAACCTTGTATAGTGTGAAACGGAGCAGTGTTGTAGAAACAGCCGTTTTAGCTTTTGAGGAAAAAATGCCAAATTTTGACTGAAAATGTGTAATTTAGAGTGAAGAAGAGACCGTTTAATTCCTACCTTTACAGTCCATTTAGGAAAAACCTGATAGTACTTTTGGCAATATATACCGTAATGTGTGTATGAAGCTAATGAATGACAAGTCTAGTCTCTCACTTCATCCATTTTTCCACATTTTGTGCATCAATTTCTCTTACAACTTTTGCTCTCATTTGGCAGGTGAAAGTGTGGTTTCAAAACCGCCGCACAAAACAGAAGAAGGACCAGACCAAGGACACCGACAAATGGTCATCGTCCACTTCTGAATCGCTCGCCACATGCAACATCTTGCGGCTGCTTGAACAGGGGCGGCTTTTATCTGTGCCTGCGCCTCCGCCCAACCCACTGCTGGCTCACCCGCACCCGGGCAACAGCTCGCTCCTGGGTAGCTCGTCCGTATCCACTTCCTCTGGGGTGAGTAGCAGCACCACGCCTCTTGGGGTGGTGGCGGGCAGGACGTTCGGACTGTCACTGTCTTCTTTAGGCGGCACCCCACCCTCACCGCGCCTCGGGGTCCCACCGCCCTCCCTTTGCTTTACCATGCCTCTCTTGGGCGGCACCCATCACGAACTGCCATCAGGATACGGGTGTGGATCCTCAGCGTTTGAGCCCTACTTGAGGATAGAGAGGAAGGACGGAGAGTTAAATGGGAAGAAGACGGTTTCCTAAAAACGTTCCCAACCAGTACCTTCTCACCTCTACCTGTCTCAGGGGTCTCACCTGTGCCGTAAACAACAGAAAGTTTTGCAAACTAACAAAAAGAGATTGAATTATGGCCTCTCTTGCGCTAGTGCCTACAACCAAACTGAGGCCAGTCAGACTCCATCGTTCCAGTGGAGGTGAGCGTTTGGGACGAAGCCTGTAATTAAGCATCGCTGTGTTCGGTCAATTGCGTCGTCCACAGGTTTCCTTCCATTTTTGCATTACGTGTGTGTTGAGGAACTTATTCTTTGTGAACGATGGAAAACGCTGTAAATGTAACTGTAATAGTAAAAGGCTAAATCTAATTTCTCAAGTTTGTTTCCAAATGGGTGTTAAAAAAAATGAAAAATGATGAAAAAATGATTAATATTGTGGTATGGTTTTATGCTGCTCTAAATTAATTGACTTTGGGGAGCTTCTTGTCGATATAAATGTGAGTCTGTGTGAAAGTATAAGTATGAGAGCATTAGGTGAGTGAACACGTTCAGTAACTATAACAAGGCACTGACAAATTTTGTGGCATTTATTTCGCACTGGACATTGGTACTAATGAGAGTTCAATGGACACAATGATTATTCAGACAGCAGTGATGCAACATTAAATTTGAGCATGTGGAAAATTATACAGGTCTTTAGCAAAATGCAAATAATGTCTAAAAGTACTCGTCTCATGTGCTTCCCATCAAGGATAAGTTGTCGCAATGCACAACTCTTTAAAATATGTTTCTTCTCTTGGTAACACATGAAATTCTCAATTGAAAGTGTTAGCGATGCCTTCATTGGCTCAACAACAATATAAGGACCCTTTTCACAGACTGTGATGACATGTTTCCAGTTATCAATGTCGTAAATCTTTCAAGATTTTCATTAATCTGGTTGAAGCTGCTGCATGAGTGTTTCTAACACAACAGCTGAGGGAGCGACAGCAAATTTGACATCTTTCTCTCTTCTGACCAACATAATCAATCTCTCTATAATTTTCCCTCTTTTGGAAAATCATAGAAACACCATTGTTTCGCTAGTGGAGCAAATGACAAAACAAAAAGTGTATTTCTTGTAGTTTCCGTTCACCACTTTAGAAATTCACCCAATTATGATCACTTCCACTTCTGATAACCCCAGAAATGTGAAAACGGTCCACTGCCCCTAATTAACATGCTTCCTCTTGTCAGAGAGTTGTTTCCAAATCAATGCAAAGGGCTTATTCTTGACTTCCAAGATGAGCCGTCTTTCAAAGTCTTTCAGCACCTTGTTTCATTTTTTGAAATCTTAATCAATGCTTAATTATTGATTGAGCGTTTATAGGATCAGTTTCACATTATGTGCACATCATTCAGACACCTACTGCAGTTTACATGCACTAATGCTTGCCATTGCAGTACTATAGCCTTGGAGACTGAATCAAAACAAATAAACACTTATAAAAAAGTACTTTGATAAAAGGATTGCTTTAAAGAATACTATGTTAGTACTTTTTTTGTTTTGTGAGAAATTTAGATTTTTTCTTTCACCTTTCCAAAATTATAACCTTTGTACTCCCCTGTCAGTATTAGTCAGAGCTGTTAGGTCAGTTTGGTGCTCTATCTTGCACATGCTTTATATGACTGCAGAATTACAACCCACAATTAATAAGCATTTTTTTCATTACCTCAAATCAGATGCACTTTACGTTTATGGATTTTCCTAGTCTTCTTCACTCAAAACCTACCATGCATATCGGTAAGAATGGCATGCATCGATTAAAAAAAAATCCCCAAACATTCCCAGTTTCTATTTGTTGAACGATAGCCCAAGACATCTACTGCAACTACTTCCCAACCTCTAAACTGACTTAATGAAGCCTTGCACCAAAGCTAGACTAACACATGCAGACTCATGCAATAGTTTCATATTTAAAAGATGGTTTTGTAGCCTGTTTCTAGTAAAGGATTATTTACACTTGTTCATTTTGCATGAATAAGTCAAAACAATCCTATTCACACTGGGACGGAATCTGGCAGACAACTTGTTTTGAGTCCTGTATGTCAATTTTTTTCCTATGTGTGGCAAAAAACCCACCAACAAATTAGATTTGGGCTCGTAAAATAGATGTATCCGTGCTGAGTGAAATCGTTATTGTCTGGTTGAGCAGAAATCTGTTTTGGGTTGGGCGAGCTGGGTTGTATTTTGCATTAAAGCATGTGAAGTGCTTTTCTGCTTTGCTCTAGAGTAAACAGACCTTTGCACTTGCTTGTTTTGCTCTTAAAGGGATAGTTCACCCAAAAATGAAATGTTATGTTTATCTGCTTACCCCCAGGGCATCCAAGATGTAGGTGGCTTTGTTTCTTCAGTAGAACACAAATTATGATTTTTAACTCCAGCCGTTGCAGTCTATCAGTCGTATAACGCATGGCAATGGTAACAAAATCTATGAGAGTAGAAAAAACATGCACAGACAAAAATTAGCCTCTGCGGCTTGTGACGACACATTGATGTCTTAAGACACGAAACGATCGGTTTGTGCGAGAAACCGAACAGTATTTATATCATATTTTACCTCTAATACACCACTATGTCCCACTGCTATGAGTGCGCGCAAGGCTTCCGGTGCGTGAGGTGTGTACGCGCTCTGGCGTAGTTTACGCAAGCGCCGGAAGTGATCTCTCGCGCGTATACGTCACTCATTGTTTACACACTGCACAAATATTGTAGGTACGATGGCTAATCAAAATGGTACTTACTTGCGCTTATCCGGATTGTTCAAACCGGCTTAAAACTAAAAGAAGTTATGGTTGATTGCTCTTCGGCTGGATATCAACACACCCATTAACGTAAACTACGCCAGAGCGCGTACACACCTCACGCACCGGATGCCGTGCGCGCGCACAAAGACAGTTGGACATAGTGGTGTATTAGAGGTAAAAAATTATATAAATACTGTTCGGTTTCTGGCAAAAACGATCGTTTCGTGTCTTAGGACATCAATGTGTCGTCACGAGCCGCAGGGTTTAATTTGGATTTGTCTGTGCATGTTTTTTTTACTCTCATAGATTTTGTTACCATTGCCATGCATTATATGACTGATAGACTGCAACGGTTGGAGTTAAAAATCATCATTTGTGTTCTACTGAAGAAACAAAGTCACCTACATCTTGGATGCCCTGGGGGTAAGCAGATAAACATAAAATTTTCATTTTTGGGTGAACTATCCCTTTAAGGAGCGTTCACAGTGACAGCGATTTCAGTCGATGAAAGTTGCTGAAAGTGCTAATCATTTTAAAGCTTGTTGTTTTCCATAAAGTTGAACTCCATTTAACTTTGTTGCTCAATAGTTGCTGTTACAGTATGTCACCCCTAAATCTCCAACTCTCACTCGCTGTCAGTGTGAACGCCCCTTTAATGTGAATAGGCATTTTTCAGTCAATAAGCTACATATGGATGCTTATTTCTGCCATGGAATAAAAAAATAGAAAACATTGTGTAAAAGGTAATTATTTCACAATTCAGACTTTTTCTCAGAAATGTATGTTTATTTCTTGAAATTTTGGTAATCTCAGAAAAGTAAAATGCTTGATGTTTCTAAAAAAACGCATCTAAATTGTAAGCTATAAACTCGGAATTGTGAGTTATGAGATAAACGTTGCAATTACCTTTTTTAAATATTTTTATTCTGTGCCAAAAAATAAACTTCCATAGCTACAACACTATACTTTTATAATTTCTCTATTTCTATTCTCTGACAGTATCCTAGGTTGGACGTTGAAGGAATAATTAAACCCAAAATGAAAATTGTGTCATTTACTCACACTTATTTCGTTCCAAACCTGTATCGACTTCCATGGAATGGCGGATCTTCTATGAAAGACAAAAGAGAAACATTAAAGATACAGAAGCAATGACTGATACACTATATTCCAAATCTTCTGAAAGTCATATGATCATTTTGGGTGTGTATCAGACTAACAACAACAGTAAGTTGCTTTCTGAATCTTCAACTCTATAGTCCCCATTAATTTTGCTTGCATGGAAAGAGCAAGAAAATCTTTGCAACAATATGAGGGTGAGTGAATGAAGATAGCAATTTAATGTTTGGGTGGACTAGTCCTTTAACTCAAGCTGCAGATGACTTCATGTCACCCTATTGAGTTGCTCTTCCGTTGCTTTCTAAAGAAGACATGGACATGGTTTTAGCTTCTTATACATCTAGTATTTGATTGCAAATGGATTGTAACTTGTGCATAAAAGTTCTTGTTGCAGTGGTGGTGTTGCTGTCGAACACGGTTATTTCTTATAAGCGTCATGTATAAAGAAGCGCCTGAAGCGCTGAGACAGACACTGGCTCATAACAGTCCAGGCTTACGAGAAAAACAAACCCGTACACGTTGCATGTTTTTTTTTCTCACTCTCTGTTTTTTAGTGACATCTCTCAAACAGTTTCCTAAAATGATGATGTGTTGATCATTTTTTTAACACGATTACTGAGAGGAAAAAACGAATGGAGCATCTCACAGATATGTGAATTTGAAAAAGCAGCAGAGTTATAGATTAAGAAATCAAGCTTTGTAAACACTATTAAAGAGAGAACTGATTTTCTTTACCATCACTACAATTTTATAAAAACTTTTTTACCCCTTGAATTATGTGAACCATATGCCTGAAATATGTTTTGTGTTGAACAAGCAAAGACAGTATATATAAATAACATTGCCACAGATATGATTGTAAAATGTGGTTTGAGTTTACTGTGATTGTGTGGAAAGATTTAATTTTTTATTTGATCTTACTTCCATTGTTAAAGGGTCAGTGCTCTTGTCCTGTTACAAAGATTATGTGTAAGTAAGCCATAAGCTTTTTGGCAGTACAGCATTTGTGTGACTGTGTCAAAAAATAAGAATAAAACAATTACATAATGGCAACAGCTTCTCACAAATAAGAAAACATTTAAACAGTATGTAAATATATGAGTCTTTGCACAGTATTTTCATGTTGTATTATGTGATCTTACAGAAAAAAATGAATGAAAAAAAATATAAATGCTTTACAATTCTTTGTCTCATTAACTATTTGCACTTATTTAATGAAGTTTGTGTTCTGTGAGCCTTTCTCATGGTTTGGCTAAAAAGCCAAGATATTGTACAATATGTACGTGTTTTTATTCATATGCATATAAATATATGTCTATGTAACTTGCCTACTTGTGTGTCATTTTTATGACTCTCTCAGCACACACACACGCACACACACACACACACACACACACACACAACTTTATGTGCCAAAGTGTGCAACATGTGACAAAGGCACACTATCCTGTGTATTGTATGCGACAATTTTACATTTCATTTACAATAAATGGCATCAGGACAAACTTT